CCCCTCACCCACACTCCTCACCACCCTCACCCACACTCCTCACCCCCTCACCCCCCTCACCCAACACCCCTCACCCCCCTCACCCAACACTCCTCACCCCCCTCACCCCCCTCACCCAACACCCCTCACCCCCCTCACCCAACACTCCTCACCCCCCTCACCCAACACTCCTCACCCCCCTCACCCAACACTCCTCACCCCCCTCACCCAACACTCCTCACCCCCCCTCACCCAACACCCCTCACCCCCCTCACCCAACACTCCTCACCCCCCTCACCCAACACTCCTCACCCCCCTCACCCAACACTCCTCACCCCCCTCACCCAACACTCCTCACCCCCCTCACCCAACACTCCTCACCCCCCTCACCCACCTCACCCCCCTCACCCAACACCCCTCACCCCCCTCACCCAACACTCCTCACCCCCCTCACCAAACACTCCTCACCCCCCTCACCCCCCTCACCCAACACTCCTCACCCCCCTCACCCCCTCACCAACACTCCTCACCCCCCTCACCCAACACTTCTCACCCCCTCACCCAACACTTCTCACCCCCCTCACCCCCCTCACCCAACACTCCTCACCCCCCTCACCCACACTCCTCACCCCCCTCACCCAACACTCCTCACCCCCCTCACCCAACACTCACCACCCCCCTCACCCAACACTCCTCACCCCCCTCACCCAACACTCCTCGCCCCCCTCACCCAACACTCCCCACCCCCCTCACCCAACACTCACCACCCCCCTCACCCAACACTCCTCACCCAACACTCCTCACCCCCCTCACCAAACACTCCTCACCCCCCTCACCAAAGACTCCTCACCCCCCTCACCCAACACTCCTCACCCCCCTCACCCCCCTCACCAAACACTCCTCACCCCCCTCACCAAACACTTCTCACCCCCCTCACCCAACGCTCCTCACCCCCCTCACCAAACACTCCTCACCCCCCTCACCCAACACTCCTCACCCCCCTCACCCAACACTCACCACCCCCCCTCACCCAACACTCCTCACCCCGCTCACCCAACACTCCTTGCCCCCCTCACCCAACACTCACCACTCCCCTCACCCAACACTCACCACCCCCCTCACCCAACACTCCTCACCCAACACTCCTCACCCCCTCACCAAACACTCCTCACCCCCCTCACCCAAACACTCACCACCCCCCTCACCCAACACTCCTCACCCCCCTCACCCCCCTCACCAAACACTCCTCACCCCCCTCACCAAACACTCCTCACCCCCCTCACCCAACGCTCCTCACCCTCCTCACCCAACGCTCCTCACCCCCCTCACCCAACGCTCCTCACCCCCCTCACCAAACACTCCTCGCCCCCCTCACCCAACACTCACCACCCCCCTCACCCAACACTCACCACCCCCCTCACCCAACACTCCTCACCCAACACTCCTCACCCAACACTCCTCACCCCCCTCACCCAACACTCCTCACCCCCCTCACCCAACACTCCTCACCCCCCTCACCCAACACTCCTCACCCCCTCCCCAACCTCACCCCTCACCACACTCACCACCCCCCTCACCCAACACTCCTCACCCCCCTCACCCAACACTCCTCGCCCCCCTCACCCAACACTCACCACCCCCTCACCCAACACTCACCACCCCCCTCATCCAACACTCCTCACCCAACACTCCTCACCCCCCTCACCCAACACTCCTCACCCCCCTCACCCAACACTCACCACCCCCCTCACCCAACACTCACCACCCCCCTCACCCAACACTCCTCACCCAACACTCCTCACCCCCCTCACCCAACACTCCTCACCTTCCTCACCCAACACTCACCACCCCCCTCACCCAACGCTCCTCACCCCCCTCACCCAACGCTCCTCACCCCCCTCACCAAACACTCCTCACCCCCCTCACCCAACACTCCTCACCCCCCTCACCCAACACTCCTCGCCCCCCTCACCCAACACTCACCACCCCCCTCACCCAACACTCACCACCCCCCTCACCCAACACTCCTCACCCAACACTCCTCACCCTCCTCACCCAACCCTCCTCACCCCCCTCACCCCCCTCACCCAACACTCCTCACCCCCCTCACCCAACACTCCTCACCCCCCTCACCCCCCTCACCCAACACTCCTCACCCCCCTCACCCAACACTCCTCACCTCCCTCACCCCCCTCACCCAACACTCACCACCCCCCTCACCCAACACCCCTCTCCCCCCTCACCCCCCTCACCCAACACTCACCACCCCCCTCACCCAACACTCCTCACCCCCTCACCCAAAACTCCTCACCCCCCTCACCCAACACTCCCCCCCCCCTCACTCAACATTCCGTGTGTTCACGCGTGTACATGTGGGAGAGAGTGAACACACGCGTGTACACGTGGGAGAGAGAACGCGTGGTAGGGGGGGGTCTGGTGTCTCGCCTCGTATTCATGCTTTCATTCGTGCATGCGCTCATGATTTGTTTTCATTCGTCTGATTCATTCAAGCGTGTATTCATTCTTGCATGTTTTCAAGCGTTCATTCACAGATGTACTCATTCATGCGTGTATTATTGCATTGCTGCGTATCCATTAATTGCTTCACTCATTCGCTAAATCACATATTCAGTTTCGCACTGATTCCTTAATCCACTCGTGTGTTGGTGCATTCATCCACGTGTGCATTTAAGCACTGATCTTTCATTCGTGAATTCATTCACTGATTCATTCACAGGAGGCGGACACGTGTCGCCGCCGCTGCTGAAGCAGTAATAATAAATAAATAATCCGCCGGCTCGTTTATTCGTCACTTGACGGTCTTATTAATTGGCTGTGTCCGGTGGAGGAGGGTGCACGACACACACTTTACTTAAAGTACTCATCAAATTGTTACTCGTATCAACATTTCATTGAGCTGATACGCAACGCGCCCATAGATGGTATTATTTACTTGTGAATTCGGACGCCCCTTGAGTTACTTGAAGCTGGAATTGCTTCTTGGCAGCTGCCTGGGTTGTTGCCTCTTGCGCGGGATCGCTCTGAGCTGTTGCGCCGCCAGAGACCCGGGGCAGGAGGCCAACTGATACCCCCCCCACCCCGGCCGAACGACTGGGTCCATTCACACAATTAGCGTGTGTAGAGGAGCTTTGTTAATTACTCGGTTCATTCACACACGTGTACACACACGCACACGTGTACCCACACACACGTGTACACACACACACGTGTACACACACACGTGTACACACACGCACACGTGTACCCACACACACGTGTACACACACACACGTGTACACACACACACGTGTACACACACAAGCGCGCGCGCACGTGGGTGGTGAAAATGGAGAAGCGAAGTCAGCTTCCTCCTGGTGAGGGAGAGCTGGGTTGTGTTTCTGGACCCGACTCTACCGCGAGCTCACCTGACCTCACCATAGAGGGTCAGAGAGAGTGGCTGACCCATCATCATCATCATCTTTAAGCGTCAGGTCAAACACCCGAGCCAACATTTCCCCGAAAAATCATCGACGTCCCCGGTGCCAATGACCGCCCGTACTGGCACCACCAAGCAACGCCGCATTCACAGAGGCAAGGGCCTCTCAAATCTTCTTCATGAATCGCAGTGCGGTGTCAAATGTCAGGCGGGTGAACGTGTCCACCTGGACTCGACACCTTTCCACCGTGCCGGAAGTTTTCTCGAAGAAGCGACTTGGATATCTGACGTCAGTGGCCACTTACATTCGTGTGAACGCCCCCGTGACCCTTCGGCTCCCCACCGCCAGAGCCACCCTCTATGAGACCCGCGCGGACGCACACCCGCCGCTACTGCTCGTGCCATCGAAAGGCACCTCTCCTGGCACCAGCGCCGTGACAGCCAACGTCCCCATCACCGCAACGCATGCAAAAAGTTGAAGGGTGCCGTTTCACCGTCACGCGACTCATATTTGACCCGTACCACACTCACCCACCCACTCACTCACACACCATCCCCACATTCACCGACCTACATACCCACCCACCATCCACACACTCACCCACCCACACACCATCCCCACACTCACACACCCACCATACCCACACAAAGACAAAGATCCCCCATATAGCCTGGACAGACTGTTGGGGCAAGTGCTGTTAGCAAGTACCTATGAAGGCCAGCACAGCACACGAGGGGGTGGGTGGCCAGCACCACGCCTGGCCGCCTTTTTTTCCCCCAGTGGCGACGTTTACACACTGCACCAGGAACTCATTTGAGGCTGATTCGACCTAGGGGAGGCCCAGGTAACGGTTCAGATAATCGTCACCGGTGTTGGCCGTGAGCGGGAATCGAACCCGAGTCGCCAGGTTCGCAGTGCAGCGTAGCGCTACCACTACCGCTCCCACACTCACCCACACTCACCCACCCACCATCCCCACACTCACCCACCCACCATCCCCACACTCACCCACCCACCATCTCCACACTCACCCACCCACCATCCCCACACTCACCCACCCACCATCCCCACACTCACCCACCCACCATCCCCACACTCACCCACCCACCATCCCCACACTCACCCACCCACCATCTCCACACTCACCCACCCACCATCCCCACACTCACCCACCCACCATCCCCACACTCACCCACCCACCATCCCCACACTGACCCACCCACCATCCCCACACTCACCCACCCACCATCCCCACACTCACCCACCCACCATCTCCACACTCACCCACCCACCATCCCCACACTCACCCACCCACCATCCCCACACTCACCCACCCACCATACCCACACTCACCCACCCACCATCCCCACACTCACCCACCCACCATCCCCACACTCACCCACACTCACCCACCCACCATCCCCACACTCACCCACCCACCATCTCCACACTCACCCACCCACCATCCCCACACTCACCCACCCACCCACCATCCCCACACTCACCCACCCACCATCTCCACACTCACCCACCCACCATCCCCACACTCACCCACACTCACCCACCCACCATCCCCACACTCACCCGCAGTGACGCCGTCATTGCTCCTCGTCAGTCGCTCCTTCCGCTCGTCTCCATCATCCTCGTCATCGTCTCCGTACCCATCGTCCTCGTTGTCCCGTCCGTCCACTTGGGTCTCCAGCTGATGATGATGCTGCTGCTGCTGCCGCCGCTGCTGCTGCTGATGATGCTGTTTGCGCTTCGCTCGGAGCGACACCGAAGACGGTGCGGGAGGAGGCGGAGGCCCGGGGTGCGCTGACGCGGCTCCCGCCGAACCCCCTCGGACGGGGGACGAGCGGGGTCCAGCCCGGGGGGGCGTCCCCTTGGGGGGTCGGCACGGGGAGGGCCCCGCGGGTTGGCACCGCCGGACCTTGTGTTCGATGAAGAGGACGATATGGGCGAGCGGGAACGCCACGCGGCACCGGCCACACGTCAACAGGTCGCCTGCCCCCTCGGACGGAGGTCCCCCCAATCCGACCCCTGCCGAGCCCCGAGCCCCCCTCGCCACCGCCGCCGCTGTGCCCCCCGCGGCTTCGTCCCCGGCCGTGGAGGTGACGGCTCGGGTCGAGGCGCCGTTCGCATCCTCGACTCCCTCCTCCTGCTCCTCCCCGCCTCCACCACCATCGCCTTCATCCTCCTCCTCCTCCTCGGCCTCTTCCTCCTCCTCCGCCTCCTCCTCCCCTAAAAGCGCCGCTCCCGCTTGAGACGAGTGGACTTGGGTGTGTGTGCAGGGTGTGTGTAGAGGCGTGTGTGTGTATGTGGAGGTGTGTGTGTGTGAGTGTAGAGGTGAGTGTGTGTGTGAATGCAGAGGTCAGTGTGAAGGAGGTGTGTAGGTGTGCATGTTGGTGCGTGGATGGATGTTGGTGCGTGGAATGTTGGTGCGTGGGATGTTGGTGTGCGTGGGATGTTGGTGCACGTGGGATGTTGGTGCGTGCGTTCACGTATCCGCCACGTGCGATGAGCGTGGGAACGTGTGGGGGCGGGGGGCGGGGGGCAGCGAGGGGAGGGGAGACACCAGCGAGTTAATTCGCAACGCGAACTCGCAAACAAACGACACTTGGAGGAGACACGCGGGGCCCGCCCCCGTATCGCCAAACACATTTAACTCCGTGAGCATTCGGTGGATTAATATCATTTATGAAATAATAATGATAATTATGATGATGATTAAGTAGTAGTATTGTTCTCATTGGTCGATGTCCATAATGATTGTGATGATTTGGGAAGTGTTTGATGGTTGATGGTAAAGTTGACGACGACGTTGATGAAATGTGTATTGTTCATGATGATGATAATCGCGGCAGTATTTGATTGTGACGATGGTGGTTGATGATGTTGGTGATTGTGATGATGGTGATGATTGTGATGATGGTGGTTGATGATGTTGGTGATTGTGATGATGGTGACGATTGTGATGATGATGGGGTGTTCATGTGTACAGTGCGCTCATATCCGTGCCGATAAAACCTCCCCGCCAATGCAGTCCACTATGTGGTGGGTCTCTAATAATGACGAGCACTGCACCTACGCGCTACACAGAGCATCAACACCTGCAGTGGCACCTGGGGCACCGTGGGGGGTATGGGGTTATGGACGGGGGGCGCAGGTGTCAGGTTTAACACGATCAGTCTCCCCCCCACCCACACCACATATACCCAAGATACCAACAATCTGGGCTGAGTGTGAATGTGTGTGTATCTATGCGCGTGTGGGTGTGTTTACACGTTCGAATCCCGCTCACGGACAAAACCAGAGACGATTGTCTAAATCGGCCCTCGGCCTCCCCTAGGTCTACTCAGCCTAAAACGAGTACCTGGTGCGATGTGTAAATATTGCCACGGGGGAGACAAAGACGGCCGGGCGTGGTGCTGGCCACCCACCCCATCGTGTGCCGTGTCGGCCTTCATAGGTGCTCGTTAACAGTACTTGCCCCAACAGTCTGTTAAGGCTATACGGGGGGGTCTTTGTGTGTGTACGTATCTGGAGCGGTATTGCAGTGTTTCGTGCAATGCGCTACGATCCGAGTTCGATTCCCGCTCACGGTTCCCAACACCGGTGACGATTATCTGAACCCGTTCTGGGTCTCCACTAGGTCGACTCAGACTCAATTGAGTGCCTGGGGCGGTGTGTAAACATCAGCACTGGGGAGACAAAGGCGGCCGGGCGTGGTGCTGGTGTAAGCGTGTTTAGGAGCGTTACATTTTACGCCTCAACTGGCAATGTTACATCGCGTCACCGAGTACGTGACGGCGCTGTCGTTTGGGGAGTTGCTTGACCATACTTCACCACGTGCAGCCAGTGGGGGGGGGGGGGGCTGATCAGCCGCCACTGATGGCATCACCGCCGACAGCTTTAAAAGTGTCGCCATCGTGTGGCAGCGCCTGGAAGAGACTCCACATGAACCTGACTCCTCGCACTCCCTCCCTCTCCCCTTTCCTGCCCCCACCACCCCTCACCCCCCTACCCCTGACCCCCCCTCCCCGCGTCCTCGACAGCCCCCCACACCTCCCCCGAGCCCCCATGCCCCGGCGGCGAGGGATGACAGCGGTGCGAGGGCGAGGGGAGGGGGGGAGACGGGGCGAGGGGGATCAGGCGAGGGGAGGTCGGGGAGACTTAGGAGGGGAGGGGGAGGGAGGGGGAGGGGCGCTGTGCCCCGTCGCCCCCACTCTTGGCGTCTGTGTTTTCATGCGCGTCTCCCCGTGCCTCCGGGGCTACTGCACCACGTGTGCATACACGGGTTCCCTCACCGCTACTCACCAGCACTCACCACCCACCCACCGCTCGCCAGCATGCAATGCTCACTCGCACGCACGCATTACTCCAGTGCTGTTAGCGAGCACCTATTGAGGCCGACGCGACACACGACGAAAGGTGGATGGCCAACGCCACGCCTGGCCGCCTTCGTCACCCCGGTTCGAATAATCGAATTTGGGCCAGCGGGTTTCGTAGCGCAGTGCGCTCACCACTGCGCCACCGCTCCTCATTCACACAGACCACACTCACCAATCACTCGTCGCCCGGCACACGGCCCACTCACTGCTCACCCATGCGCACGCGCCGTTCACCACGTGGCCTACTAACACGGTCGCCGAGACACTGAGCGAGTGACGCATGGCGGCAAAACGATTCATCCATCCACCCACTAACCAATCCATCCATCCACCTACTCACACACTTTCCCATCCACCCACTAACCTACACATCCTCCATCCACCCATTAACCTACACATCCATCCACCCACTAACCTACCCATCCATCCACCTACTCACACACCTTCCCATCCACCCACTAACCTACACATCCATCCACCCACTAACTTACACATTCATCCACCCACTAACCTACACATCCATCCACCTACTCACACACCTTCCCATCCACCCACTAACCTACCCATCCATCCACCCACTAACCTACCCATCCATCCACCGACTAACCTACCCATCCATCCACCCACTAACCTACACATCCATCCACCTACTCACACACCTTCCCATCCATCCACCCACTAACCTACACATCCATCCACCCACTCACCTACCCATCCACCCACTAACCTACCCATCAATCCACCCACTAACCTACCCATCCATCCACCCACTAACCTACACATCCATCCACCTACTCACACACCTTCCCATCCACCCACTAACCTACCCATCCATCCACCCACTAACCTACACATCCATCCACCCACTAACCTACCCATCCACCCACTAACCTACACATCCATCCACCTACTCACACACCTTCCCATCCATCCACCTACCCAGCCATCCATCCACCTACTCACACCCCTTTCCATCCATCTAGTTACCCAGCCATCCATCCACGTACTCACACATCTCCCCATCCATATACCTATCCAACCTTCTATATCTCTCCATCCACCTACCTACTGGCACACCTTCCAATCCATCTACCTATCCGACTATCTACCCATCCATCCACACACCGACTCGCACACCTGCACGTCAATTTAAACATCGACCTATTCTCATAACCATGCATCTATTAATCTACATTCCTATTCACATACCTAATCATACATCCATCTACGCATAGCCTTCAACATACTTCTGCTGTTAGCGATCGCCTATCAACCTACTGACACACGTGACGTGCGTTTACCCATCAAACCAGACACCTATCCATCCCTCCCTCCATCCACACACCGATCTGTCCCCCCATCGATCAACCATTCATCAATCGACCCAGTGGTGGAAATCTGCACGTAGAAGTGCAGGTAGGAGACCACACACCCTCACACTCTCAATCGCACACTCACCCACGCCATGACCCATACTCTCACACACTCTCTCACACACTCACTCACACACTCACTCACACACTCTCACACACTCACATACACCCTCACACCCTCAATCACACACTCACCCACGCCATGATCCATACCCTCACACACTCTCTCACACACTCACTCACACACTCACTCACACACTCTCACACACTCACATACACCCTCACACCCTCAATCACACACTCACCCACGCCATGATCCATACCCTCACACACTCTCACACTCACACACCCACACATACTCTCACACACTCTCACTCACACACTCTCTCACACACTCACTCACACACTCACTCACACACTCTCACACACACTCACTCACACTCACACAGTCTCTCTAACACACACTCACACACACTCACACACACCCTTTCTCGCATTCTCTACCGTTTCCCGTCTGCGGAAACATCATCGCACCAAAGGAGTAGGAACCGCTCTGGCGTAGACCGACCCATCTCCACCACTGGGTCTGCCTATTCACACACTGTGCTACATATCCATCTGCCCATTTACTCATCAACCCATCCACCTGGTCACCCACCTACATATTCACCCATCTACCTATTCACTTATACAACCAACTGGCTCATTCCTCCGCACGAAGACAAATATCGACCGTGTAGTCTACACAGGCTGGTGGGGCAATTGCTGTTATTGAGCACTTACTAAGACCGGCACGGCGGCACACGAGGGGGTGGGTGGCCAGCACCACGCCCGGTCAGTGCTGATGTTTACACACCGTACCATTTAAGGCTGAATCGACTTCGGGGAGGCGCAAGACCGGTTCAGATGACTGTCTCTGCTATCGACTGTGAGCGGGAATCGAACCCGGGTCGCTGGTTTCGTAGCGCAGCACACTAGCCACATACACACCCCAATACATACACACCCATACACTCCAAAACACACACATACACACACCAATTCACACACACATACACCCCCAATATACAACCACACATACACACACCAATACATACCCACACACACACACACCAATACACACACCCACACCAATACACACCCACACATACATACATACACACCCACACACTCACGGACCACTACACACACGCAGGGATAACTCTCACTCTGTGATTTGGATGCGACTCGAGATGCATTTCCCTCGCCTCCCTGGGTTCTAGCAAACGGAGGGAGCGAGGAGAGGGGGGAAGGCAGACGGCGAGAAACACGAGGACACAGACGAGAGGAGGCGGTGAGAGACGAGGATGAGGGCGGGCGGTGGGAGATTCGAGTGGCCGAGAGGGGAGGAGACGGGCGACAGGCGATGCCGCACGGAGAGAAGTGGAGAGAGGCGACGAGACGCGGGGAGATCACGAGAGTGGAAGGGACATGCGGGGGGAGACGAGGAGGAGGGGAGACGCGAGGAGGAGGAGGAGGGGAGACGCGAGGGGAGACGAACTGGCGAAGGAAGAGGAGACGGCGGCGAGGGGAGACGAATGGACGCGGGGAGGGGGAGGCAAGGAGGAGGAGAGAGTCGAGGAGGAGGAGGAGGAGAGAGGCGCTCAGGGAGAAAGTCGAGGAGGAGGAGAGAGACGAGGAGGAGGAGAGAGTCGAGGAGGAGGAGAGAGACACTAATGGAGAGAGACGAGGACATAGCGCGGAGCGATGGGACGTGGGTGGGTGTGTAACGCGGCGAAAACGAAACTCCGCGTCTCTCGAGAGAGAAAGCCGCGGCACCGATGGGAGCCGTGGCCGGGTGCGCGGCGAGGCGGGCGGCCCGGTGGGGGGCAGGGGCAGCCCCCCCCCCCCACCGTGGGCAGCCACAGAGAGAGAGACGCGAGCGGTGGGATGGGGATGGCGGTGTTGGTGGGGGGGAGTTGAGGGAGACGCGGAAAAGGATTAAGTCTGGGAGCACACAGGCACAGACGCAATTCACAGACATAGCACACACACAACAACAACACAGACAGCGACGCAACACAGACACTACAGCAGACACAACAACAACAACACAGACGCTGACAGCACAAATAGCAGCAGCTGCGGTGTTTACCCGCCGAGACAGAGTCGCGACGCGCGCGGAGTTTCCGTGCGTAAAGCGCGCGCCTTGCGAGGGGAGGGGAGAGCAACGGAGAGCACAGCGAGAGTGAGAGAGGGGGGGGGGCAGATATGGTGAGAGGCGAGGAAGCGAGAGAGAGAGAGAAAGGAGTGAGAGGAGGAGGATGAGGAGAGAGGCAAAGAGCAAACGGATGCGAGCGCAGGAGCGAAGAGAGCGAGACAGAGAGCCAGAGGATGAGACGAGCTGACGAGCTTGACGCACGAGTCAAGAGATCCGAGGACGACGCACGAGTCAAGAGATCCGAGGACGACGCACCGCCGACCGTGCGGCTACTCACGGGGGAAGTCGCGCTTGCTCAGGTGAAGCGGCTTCACCTGCTTGCGCCGGGACATCGCGGCGAGGCGCTCCCCCTCGGCTCCTCGTGGGCGCGGCGGAGCGCGGGGAGCCGACTGCGTGCGCGCGTCTCTCGCTCTCTTCCTTGCTTGCCACCCACGCACCCCCCCTCCTCCTCCTCCTCTGCCCGCTCCCTCCGATGATCTCCCCGCGTCTCTGTCCTCTCCCCCCCCCCCCCCCCGTTGCCTCCCCCTCCGCGTCTCTCCGTCTGCGTCTCCCCCCACCTCTCCCCTCTCCTCTCTCTCTCTCTCTCCCCTTGCCCCGGCGGCTGCACACACACACACAGAGAATAGGAAGATGGCGGCGAGCGGGGCGGAGGAGGGATTGTGCGATGCGGAGCGCAGCAGCCGCCGCTTATGACCCCCAAGTTCAAGTGCGGACGTGACGTGCGGAGCCCCGCGAACTTGGGACGTCACTGGAGAGTGGGGGCCGTGCGGACAGGGGGAGGAGGAGGAGGGGGTGGGGGGGGTCGGTGGTGGTGGAGGGGCGGGGCTGGGTTGGGGGGGATGACGACCTCCTCCTCCTTCCCCCCCCTCCCTCCCTCCACTTCGCCCTCTCGTGGAATCGCCAGCGAGCCACAGTCGTGTGCTGGCTGGGAGGGTGGGTGGAGTGGGGGGTGACCGCCTCGCTATGTGGTGCACGGACAGGGAGAGAGGGCGAGGCGGCGGCGGCGGCGAGGAGAGAGTGGAGAATGGGGGGGGAGCAGTGGGGAGGGAGCGAGAGGTGGCAGAGAGGGGGGCTGCGTGGTCGCATTGCGAGCCAGATGCTGCACTGATGGAGAGAGAGGGGAGGGTGGAGAGGGGAGGGTGGAGAGGGTGGAGAGGGAACAAGGGAGAGGGGGCGATGGGCGAGAGGGCAGGGGGTGGCGGGGCGTGGGGTGTGGGCGGCGGGGTTGTGGGAGGAGGTGACTGCCGGCTGCCGCACGGGCAGGGGGAGAGAGAGAGGAGAGGGAGAAGGAAGAGAGCGGGGGGAGAGGGCAGGTGGTTAATGGTGGTGGGGACGGGAGAGCGCGCAGCAGTGGAGAGCCGTCGGCTGTAAACCGTCTAGGCTCCCGCGAGCCGAGAGGGCGCGCTGCACACAGCGAGACGACGGCTGCCTGCGGTGCATGCGTGCCAGTGCACGTGCACGTGTGTTGGTGGGGGTGCGTTTGTGTGGATGCGCCAGAGAGTGGGGAGGGTAGTAGAGGTCGCAAACTGGGTTTTGATTCCTTACCCGTACCCGGCCGCACCAGGGTCGCAAACGGGTACCCGTACCCGGCCGGGTATCGGGTACCCGATTGCGACCTCTGGAGGGTATGGGCAGTGGTTAGCGCGCTGCTGTACGAACCCGGCGAGCCTGGTTCGATTACCGCTCACGTGTCAACACCAGAGACGATCCAGTCCCGAGCCTACCCTAGGTCGACCCAGTTCTAAATGAATTGCCTGGCGCGGTGTGTAAAGATCAACACGGCGGGGAGATAAAGGCGGACAGACGTGGGGGCTGGCCACACGACCCCATCGTGCGCCGTTCCGGCCTTTAATAGGTGCTCCCTAACACCACTTGCCCCTACAGTCGTTGTGTGTTTGTGTGTCTCCGTGCATGTGACTGCGTGCGCGTCGCCACGTGCGTGGCGGTCACGCGAATGTGCGTGAATCATCGTGCACACGCGGCTTGGTACACGGGGGGAGAAGTGAAGCCGGGTTGGGGTGATGGGGGGGGGACGTGTTACCAGGTGCACGGGGAGGGGTCCCGTGGGTGGTGGGGAGGACGTGGATGGAGACGGGGTTCACGGCGCGGCCGCGCGGCTCAATGCCGCCCTCTGACTCGCCTCTCTCTCTTTCTCTTTCTGACTCACTCTCTTATCTCTCTCTAATCTGGCTCCTTAGCTCTCTCTCTCTCTCACACACCCTCCTCACTCTCTCCGACTGACCCACTGTCGTCTCGCTCCAACTGTCATCACTCTGATTCTTTCTCTCGTTGTAAACTGAAAACAAAAACAATAATAATGTATTTTTGGTTCTTTCGGTAAAGTCACGTAGAAGGGAAATAATAAAATAATAAAAATAAAAATTTTCTTGTTTTATTTTTAATACACATTTTCTTGTTTTATTTTTATTATTTTATTATTTCCCTTCTACGTGACTTTACCGAAAGAACCAAGAATATGAATCCCTGCAGTCACGAAAGCTTTAAATCGAAATTCAATAATAATGTGTGAAAGTAACATGCACACGCACGTAGGAAAGGGTTCCGGAATCCATGCGTCTGCATGATTAGTCTTCCTCTTGTGTTTCCGCTCCACTTGTTTTTTGCCCCATTGCAAGAGAGGCGTTCACTGTCGTTCACTCTCCTTGGGCGCTCACCTGGATGTACAACAAACACCTGACGGAACGTGTGCCCCGTGTGTCTGTCAATGGGTGTACAAAGACAAAGGCGGCCGGGCGCGGTCCTGTCCACCCACACCTCTCGTGTGTCGTTGCCGGCCTTCACAGGTGCTCGCTAACAGCACTTGCCCCAAAAGTCTGTTAAAGGCTATACGGGGGGTCTTTGGCTTTGTCAGTGTGTGTGGTGTAGTGCTTACGAATCCGACGACCCGAATTCCCGTTCACGACCAACATTAGTAACGAATATCTGAACCGGTCCAGAACCTCTCCTAGGTTGCCTCAGACTTAAATGAGTACCTGGTGCGCTGTGTAAACATCGGCACTGGGGAGACAAAGGTGGCCGGGCGCGGTACTGCTCACCCACACCCCTCGTGTGCCGTGCCGGTCTTAATAGGTGCTCGCTAAAAAAAACTTCCCCGAAAGAGTCTATTCACGGCCACATGGGCAGGGGGGTGGGGGTCTTTGTCTGTGTGTGTGGAAGCTATTCTTGCAGCGCCCCCGCGTGTCGAGACGGAATATGACCCGGCGGATATCGCCGCTTCTTGCAGATGGTTTACGGTTCGAACGCAGCGGCCGCCCTGGCGATTACCGTCACAACCAAATTAAACGTGCGCGCCGCCCGCTTCACCAGTGGACGCTTGAGACGCAGTGACGCCATGCGCAAGAGTGGGCCACTGTGTGCGCTAAAAGTTGCAAAAAAAGCCTAAGTGAGGCTCTCTGGATGATAATACCGAAAACAACTCTCTGCGCGTACAATGACATTGTGTAAGCGTGCGCACGTGTGTACACGTGTGTGTACACACACGCTAACAGCACTTGCCCCAACAGTCTGTTGAGGTTATACTGACAGATCTTTGTCTTTGTGTGTACACGTGTGTGTACACGTGTGTGTGCGCACCGCTGTGTTCTCGTCTCGAGACATAATCCTGGTGACCTCTCCCATGCCCGCGCGCGACGGATCCTGGGGAGCCCCTTCTCTCTCCCCCACCCCCCTCCTTTCAAACTCCCCTCATCTCACTCCGACATCATCATCATCATCCCTCCCTGGACCTAGCGCTCTCATCCCCCTCCACGTGCAACCTTCCACCCCCTTCCCTACAGCCACCACCAGAAAAATTCCCATCAACATCCCCCATCATCAACATCTCCCATCATCAACATCTACCATCACCAACATATCCCATCACCAACATATCCCATCACTAACATATCCCATCACCAACATCCCCCCTCACCAACATCTCCCATCACCAACATCTCCCATCACCAACATCTACCATCACCAACATCTCCCATCACGAACATCTCCCATCACCAACATATCCCATCACTAACATATCCCATCACCAACATCCCCCATCACCAACATCTCCCATCACCAACATATCCCATCATCAACATCTCCCATCACCAACATCACCCATTACGAAGCGGGAGGTGATGGGACGCGGTTCGGAGAGAAGTGATGTAGAGGAGGAGGAGGATTGATGGGGGGGGGGGGTGACCGTAATGGTGATAATGATGATGATGACGAACGTATTGACAATGCACACGCGTGCATATTGCGCACGCATGCACATGCGCATATACACACACGTACTCCACACACTGTACGCATACATGCTTAGATAAATAACACACGTACACATGACATATAGTGCCTAGCGTATGACGCAATCACTCAGCCATGATCAATCCACTGCTGGATGAAGGTCTTCCCCAAGCTATCACGTCGCATACATCATGGCTATGCGTTCATTGAATGCTCACGCGTGTGTAAACACGCACACAATCTGTACACTGGGTGAAGAGAAATGCAGGCACCACGAACACGTGCGTATTGAATACATGCAAGCACACACGCATGCATCCAATGGTCAAGACTAGCAACGGAGCGGCAGCCGAGGGATGGAACGCGCCCGAGAGAGACGCCCACCAAGGAGACGGAGCGATGAGATCATCAGCTCGAGTACACGAGCTGGGTGGATCGTTTTGGAGAAGACCTTCACCAAGCAGTGGAGTGATCATGGCCGATGATGATGGCGGTGATGTGGACACGCATACACATCCAACATTCACCGCGTCCCTAAGCAAAAAGGTGGCTCCGATCTCCCTGCATCCACCACCTCCCCCGCCTGACACCACCCCCACCCCTCACCCTCCTCCCTTTGACCCCCACCCCCACGCCTCTCATCCCCCGCTCGGCGGCGCGATCCGATCCGATTGCCGGTGATGCGATTCGGTCATCCATCTATCACCAAGGACGCGGGCAAGGGGCGGGAGGGGGGGGAAGTCAGACACAGGAGGGGGAGGGGAGGGGGAGGGTGCAGGGTGAGAGAGGGAGGCAAGGGGTGGTGGTGGTGGTGGTGGAAGAGGGGAGGGGCTGGTTGACCTTGACCCTGCGCGCCCCCTCCCCCCTTCCCATCTGGTGAAGGGGGAGGGGCGCCTCCGGGGACCTCGAGATCCCCGTTGCGCAGTGACGGGAGGGAGGGAGGAAGGGAGAAGGGGGCGGGGCTGTGGGAGCCGGGAGGGGAGACGGCGGTGGGAGCCGAGCGAGGTGGGTGGAGAGGCGAGACGTGGGGGAGAAAGGGCGAGAGGGGAGGGGGAGAGGATGGAGGGAGAGAGGGAGATGGTGGGGGGGCGGCACCGAGGGGAGGAGGATTAGGGAGGTTTGGGGCTGTGGAGGGGGGCGGGTGAGTGGGGGAAGGTGGGGGGCGGTCCCCCAGAGTCACGTGTGGACAGGGAGCGCAGTCGCCCCCTGCTGACCGCACTGCTCAGTGACGTCGTCACGTCG